AGAATTTAGATTTTAGAGTTAGGATATTATACTTAGAGTTAGAATTTTAGAATTAGAGTTAGAATTTGGACTCAGAGTTAGAATTTAGAAGTGCGACTGTACTGTTCGGTGTCGCGCAGAGAACTGACGAAATTCGGGACTGTTCTGAGGTCCTTCGTTTCGGCGGCTCGGGCCTGCGGCGGCCTGGAGAGGGGGAACTCTCCGGAGTAGGGACTCTCACCGTGGTGGGAGACCCTTAGGCGCTACGAAGCGCCACGCTTAGTTTCTAGGCGGAGTTAAGCGTCATGGCCGGCTTTGGCGCGTTTTTCAAATAATGTTTGATAGTCTTAGGATTTATTTCTTATAGATGGAAAAAAATTACATACCCTGACATATTAATGAAGCCGGACGTGACAATGCTAAGAATAGAAGTAAGAAATACTACGATAAGAAAATCAATACGCGTAAATTTAAGATTAACGATAGCGTTTATTTACTTAAGGAACCTAACAAAGGGAAATTAGGAGACCAATATACAGGTCCCTATAGGATAATAAAGATACTAGGTAAAAATAACGTTAAGTTAGCTATAAGCAATAGTAAGACTAAAACCGTACATATGGACAAGTTAAAGCCCTCACCACATCAAGCCCCCACCCTTGAAGACCCCCACTCCGAAGACGAATATATCTCGGACGCCCCAACGGAGGACGGGCCAGTAATCAACCAACCACGCTAAGATGAGGACTCTCGCAATTATCCTGGGCATGGCCTTTTTGGCCCCACTATCCAGCGGACTAATCGGATACGACTGTGGAGGACGGGGCCTGAACATCACAACACTCTCCCTCTTAGATATCGAAGAGTGTAAAACCAACAGCATCGAACCTAAGAAGGAGGAAGTCTATATACAACTACTCCAACTCAGTGAATTCGTGCATACTCCTGCCTACCAATGCAAAATCGAAATAGACCGGACTATATTTTACTGCGGAATGCACTCTCATATAGCAGCGGTGCAGAACGGAAGACAGGAGTATATCCACGAAATATCGGCAGATACATGCCGAAAATTGCACGAAACAGGGACCATATCTCTAGGAGTTAACCAGCACATTACTGGGATTAAGCCAAATGCAACAAACCTAAGAGCAATGACACTCGCAGGATCAGTTAAGACAGACGGAAAATGCAGCGGCACCCAGTTCAGCGACGCATACGGTTCATGGGACGACGTGATCGTGCAAGCCTCAGTACGAATCACGATACGACAATTGGAGCTGCCCGTTGGATACAATAACAATGAAGTGATACTTCCATCCGGCACTCGCTGTCCCGTAACGACAGGCGAATGCATTGATGCCGACGGCGCCTCCACCTTCTGGACAATCCTGCCAATTGACAACTGTCACTTTGGACGATACGATGTTCTCTACGAAGGAATAGCATATCGATTGTCGCCCAGCACTCCCCAAGAGGAAGCGCCAACGATTTATACAGTCACGGCGCGTGACACAACCTTCGCATTAGCAAGGACAACCGAGACCAACGTATGCGGATACAACCTTTGGCGAACGGAACATCCCAAGCTGTGTATCCTCGAAACGAGGCCCGAACGGACATTCAAAAGCCGTTCCAAGGTCAGAATCGACAACCTCGACATCTTCACATATGTGAATTCAAAATTTATATACGTCGAGAAACACCTGAAAACCCAGCTGACCCAACTATACAAGGATATTATGGAGCAAAAATGTGCACTGGAAAGGCAGATCCTCCTCAACGCACTTTCTCTAGCAAGCATAGCACCTGACGAAATGGCGCATCGAATAATGAAGTCTCCAGGTTATACCGCCATAACTGCAGGTGAAGTTATACACCTCATCAAATGTATACCTGTCAAATGCCGCCTACGACCTACCGAGGAGTGCTACAACGAACTCCCCGTCACTCATCAAAATAAGTCACTCTTCCTCTTACCAAGATCGAAGATACTTACTAAAGCCGGAACATCGAGGGATTGCAATGAACTATTACCAACTCTATACCAAATACACAACACCTGGTATAGACTAACACCGAAACCCGTGGAATCGGTGGCACCGCCTACTATCAGGCCTCTAACCAAACCCTCATGGAAGTACGTAAGCCCGGATTCACTCGCTTCCAGTGGTATCTATACGAACGAAGATCTTGATCGTCTTCGCGACCATATCATGTTCCCCGTGGAAAAACCCTCCATGCTCCACACAATCGCCAGGGGAGCAATGGGACAGGAAATTCCTACAGGCAGTTTCTCCTTGCTGAATTTATTAGACGAGAAATCTCTCGACCGAATAGCGGAAAATACCGGAGCCAGGCTATGGAAGGGATTTATAAGCTTCGGATCCGCCAGCGCCGGAGTACTTGGCATCTTCGTTACCGTACGGTTGATAAAATTAATAATCGACACCCTGATCCATGGGTACGCACTCCACTCGGTGTACGGATGGAGTCTACATCTACTCGGAGCCATTTGGACCTCAGTGACCAACGTCCTCCTACACCTTGGTAGATCAGCGGACGGAGAACAGGACAACGGACGAGAACTGCTACACCTGAAACCCCCTCCAACGAACGAAGAAGAAACACCCTTAACCCTGCCCACACAACAAACCCCTTCGATTAACGAATCAGACAGTGGCAAAGTGTGTGCAAAAACTCACCCTACGAGTGTTCCCCCAATGAAAGATTACGGCGAACTAAATAAATATTTACATAACCAATGTTAAGTTAAGAACCTAATCGTAGCGCATAGAAAACTAAGTCCAAAATGTTGGAACATTAAATTCCAACATTTTTATTTTAAGGGGGGAGGTGTCACGTCCGGCCGTATAAATTTTTTCGTTTACTCCAAGTTCCTTAAACGCTATTTGAAAAGCGCGCCAAAGCCGGCCATGACGCTTAACTCCGCCTAGAAACTAAGCGTGGCGCTTCGTAGCGCCTAAGGATCTCCCACCACGGTGAGAGCCCCTACTCCGGAGAGTTCCCCCTCTCCAGGCCGCCGCAGGCCCGAGCCGCCGAAACGAAGGACCTCAGAGCAGTCCCGAATTTCGGCAGTTCTCTGCGCGACACCGAACAGTATAGTCGCACTCCTAAATTCTAACTCTAAGTCCAAATTCTAAATCCTAACTCTAATTCTAAAATTCTAACTCTAAGTATAATATTCTAACTCTAAATTCTAAGTCTAAATCTAAATTCTAATTCTAAGTTTTAGTCTCGAATTTTGTACTACTATACGAATAAATCAGTGTATTCATGTGTGAGAACTAGTGTTCAGTATTCTTCAAAACTTCCACTCCCGTGATAAAATACGATAGCGTTTTAAATTTGTCATACGGCGTTTGAATTCAGAATAATTCAAACTGTGTTTGGAGCGGACCACCGCTCATCACAGTCAGAATTAACATTCTCAGCATTTGCCAAAATAAGGAATTGATAGTGAGGTCCGCCGCATATCAACCCTCCTTATTTGAGTAATCATTCAGAGGATGCATCAAATTCAATATGCCTAAGACGCGACGCGCAGGAAGGAAGAATCAATTACGAAAACTAAACCGACTTTATCGCGAATCAGCGACCGAAGAATATTCTCAATTCCTCGGAGTGGAATATCAGGCCGATCCTGAATACGAGAACATTTTCAACATTAAAAATAATAACAACGACGAACTCCTACAGTGGAAGTGCATACCAATAACGTTCCAACCACGACGCCTGCCGCCGCCAAACATCCCAGTGAACGACCCTCGCCGCACGCACTACCTCCAAGTACGAGCCGACACGATCAAGAAAGTGCTACTAAAGGTAAGTGAAATTCACGTTAACCTAAGGAATCGCGCGTGTTAGCAAATTCAGAGACGCTTCTACCACGTGGAAGAGAACATTCTAGAAAAATCTCCGACGCATTTTTCCTCTTTTCCATCGTCACTGCGGAAGCTATAAAAAAAAGGTCGGGCTATAAAACTAGGGTCGACCACCACATGCGGTGCCACTCTCGGAATTCTAACACGGAAAAACGCAAATAGTTCAATCTCTTAAAAATCTTGTGTCTCAAGAAATAACTTCGTAAATCCGTACAACAAAGTAGTCATTTAAACAATAATCAATTGAGAACACTTTCGATTTGCCAACATTACCGACGATATACCGACATACGTTCTTTTACCAACGTTATCGACAATATACCGACATACGTTCTTTTACCGACATTACCGGCTATATACCAACATACGTTCATATACCGGCATTACCAACCATATACCGACATACGTTCTTTTACCAACGGGTTATCGACGCCTTACTGGCACCTTACCAGTGTTTTACTGAACAATTACCGACGGTTTTGCCGACGACTACTAACTTCTCGATAACTGCCGGGTTCACCGAAGATCTACGAGCGAATGACGCATTATCAATTCGATTACGCAACAAACACAAATGTGCCCACTCACCCTTAGAGGTATAACTCCTCCTCCAGAAGTTAATCTCTTCGTACCGTTTGAACCCTTATTCTATTGCCAAGTTGGTGTCGGGTACATCCATTTTGAGACTAAGGCAGCTCTCTGCATTTCATGCTACTCCACCTTACCTAGAGTCTCGAAATTACTTTGGACAAGGATTCGGAAGCATACTCTAATCATAGGCGGAACACCTATCGGAATAAATTGCGGAGTCTGCAACTTCCGACTTACCCTCACGCGAATCGGTGATTTGTGCGAGCTTTGTCAGTTTACGTACGAAGATTATTTACGCAACCCCAACGACGTTTCGCATAGAGCAATCGACGAAGCTATCTTTATTACAGTAGAGTCACAGGTAGGTCCCTCGCAATAATCCGATCACCTCAGTTCCAGCGCGAATAACCTCAGATCGCGGGTATCCCCGGGGAGAATCGCATAGATTCGCGTACCCGTAATAGCGATCGTGTCTCGTGGAAAAAGCCGAGCTCTGCATTCAAATTTTCGCAGCCGCGACCCCACGAGACGTAACAGTATCCGTCAGGGTGGGCGGTTCCGGTACATTGACTGGACTCTCTCCTATAAGGAAGTGCCCAGGGGTGATCGCAGTATAATCGTTTGGATCATTGCTTAACGGATAGAGCGGTCTCGAATTGAGGCACGCCTCGATTTGACAAAGTAATGTGGACAATTCTTCGTAGGTAAGTATTTGATCTCCTAAGACGCGTCGGAGATGGTACTTAGTGGCCTTGACGCCTGCCTCCCAGAGTCCGCCGAAGTGCGGGGCAGAGGGAGGAATAAAAGCCCATTCCGTGCTGTCTTGAGCCAGCTGGGCTTTACAATCCTTGTAAAAATCGGCAGCGGCGTTGAATAGGTCCCGCAACTCTCGCTCGGCCCCTCGGAAATTGGTACCGTTGTCGCTAGTCAGGTACGCACAACGGCCTCTCCTTGCCACAAAACGCTTAAAAGCGGCCAGGAATGAGCTAAAGGTGAGATCCGATACGGCTTCCAAATGCACGGCTTTGGTGACCATGCAAATGAATAGGCAGATATATCCTTTGTAGCCTTTGCATCCGCGGCCCTTGGAAATTCGAAGCTTGATGGGTCCAGCGTAATCCACGCCAGTGGTCCAGAACGGTCGGGCCGGTCTGACTCGATCCGCTGGTAGTTGGCCCATCTGTTGTTGAGAAGTGGTTTCCCTAAAACGAGCACATTTTACACATTGTTTTACAACGGATCTAATTAGCGAGTTGGCTTGCAAAATCCAGTAACGGCGAGAGAGCACGCTCCTCGTGAGCTGCGGACCGCCGTGGAGGGTTCTTTCGTGTGCATCGCGCACGAGGAGTAACGAAAGATGGTTCTCTTTGGCGAGAACAATCGGGTGCTTTTCGGCAAAGGCTAACGGTGCGTGAGCAAGTCTGCCGCCTACTCTTATCAGCCCATCCTGTCCTTGGAAGGGCCGTAGCGACAGTAGTGGGGATTGACGGGCCAGCTGGGAGCCGCGGGAGAGGACCTTGATCTCCTCCGCAAAGTCCTGGAGCTGAGCGATGCGAAACCAGCGCAATCGACAGCGTGCCAGTTCATCTGCAGTGAGATGAAGGGCGTGGGGTCGTTCAGCGTGTAGCAGCCTGAGGCGGTATGCTGAAACTCTAATTAATTTAGAAAATGATGAGAATCGTGTAAGGACATCATTGTTGATTTTGTTAGTAGTAAGAGTGGTAGCGTGTGAGCGCCGCTCCTCGCTTACTTCCTGTCGAGCATCACTTTCACTTGGCCAGTCACTTGACGGGGATCCCAACCATGGGGGTCCCGACCACCAAAGGCGTCGGTCTCTCAGCTCCGATGGCGAGATGCCCCGTGTAGCTAGATCTGCAGGGTTTTCTGACGTAGCAACATAGTGCCAATGATTCCCCGGCATTAATTCTTGTATGGCAGCCACCCGGTTGGCTACGAAAGGTGTCCAACGTGAGGGATGTGCTCGTAGCCATGCAAGTACCACCCTTGCGTCAGTCCATGCGTATAGGGGGCAGCTCTCCAATTTCAGATGTTTAGTGAGCCGACACAGTAGCCGGGCGGCTAGTAGGGCACCGCACAACTCAAGTCTAGGTATGGAGACTGGTTTAATCGGAGTGATCTTGGTCTTAGCAAGCAGGAGAGACACTTCAATGTCCCCGTGCGACCCGAGTCCTCGCAGGTAAATCGCAGCGGCATAGGCTCTTTCAGAGGCGTCCGAGAAGGCATGAAGTTCCATTGGCGTGCGAATACCGGTCCACTGAGGTATCTGTAATAGATTCAGTTCAGGTAAGCTGGTAATGTATTTCAACCAACGAGTCTGTAACTCCGGGGGCAATTCTTGGTCCCAGTTTAAACCCGCCATCCAGAGATCTTGTATTAATATTTTGGCTGCTACTATTACAGGAGCCGCCCAGCCTGCGGGATCAAATAGCTTAGCCACAAAGGAAAGTATGGAGCGTTTTGTTGGTTGTGTCGTCACATCAAATGACGGGACCGCCTTTAGGCCAAGTGTGTCCTTGGTAGGAGTCCAAAGGATGCCTAGGGCACCCACGTTGTCGTTAGTTGCAATAAATCGTTGCCCCTGATCCCCATCAGGACAAAGCGTTGCTTGAGTAGCGGCCCATTTACTTAGATGGAGCCCTCCTGCTTGGAGTAGGCCTTCCAGTTAAAGTTTGAGTTCCAGGGCGTCTGCAAGAGTGTTGGCGCCAGCTAGTATGTCATCTACGTAAGTGTGGTTGCGGATTGATGATGCTCCTTGAGGGAACCGGGACTCTTCATCTTCAGCCAATTGGAGCAAGGTTCTGATTGCCAAATACGGAGCCGGTGTCGTACCGTAGGTGACGGTGACGAGTCTAAAGTCTCGAACCTCTGACTCGGCGTCCGCCCGCCATACTATCCTCTGAAGATCGGCATCCTCTCGACTAATCCGAACTTGTCTAAACATTTTGACAATGTCCGTGGTGAAGGCAACTTAAAATAACCGCCATCTAGTTAGTATTAACCAAAGTTCCGCTTGAAGTTTTGGGCCGGGCAGCAGGAGATCATTCAGAGATGCTCCTGTGCACGTTCGAAAAGAGGCGTTAAAAACTACCCGGATTTTTCCGCTTGGATTAGCTGTCTTAACCACTGCATGATGTGGCAGGTAGTATGAACCGTTGCCCTTAATTTCTGCTTCTGGCACCGGTTCCATGTGACCGAGTTCAGAATAATCGTTCAAGAACTCGACGTATGACTGGAAGAGCGAAGGGTTTCTCCGTAGTCGACTCTCGGCTGCTAAGAGTAAACGCAGTGCTCTGCACCTTGAATCTCCGTGTTCTAACGAGGTTTCTTGCTTACGGGGTAGGCGAACGACATAACGTCCATTTGTGTCACGAGTGTGGGTCGTTGCGAACAGCCTCTCACAATAAGCTTCGTCCGGGGTGAGTGGGCAATCCCCAGACACCTCTTCTAGCTCCCAAAACCGCTGTAGTTGTTGTCGTAGATCCTGTTCAATGGTTACATGGTGACTTGCGATGTCAATTCCGGGAGGATAGTTCGTATGTCCAATTGCGCCCATCAATACCCAGCCAAGACGGTAGAGTGAGCATACGGCTCTCCGGGTTGTCCGTGTTTAACTCCACTCTCGATTAGCATTCCGTAAACGTCGGCTCCGAGCACCGCGTCTACCGAGGCTGGTTTGTCGTAGTTTGGGTCTGCCAGCTGGATGCCACATAGGTGAGGCCAGTGCCCCTTGTGAACCTGTTTGCCAGGAGTAAATGGAGTAAGTTTGGACATGACTAAAGCAGTAGGTATAGCGATTCGTAGGGTCGAGGACAGTTCGCTTCCGATCATGAGAGATACTGCATGAGTCACTCTCCCTGTTGTTACCCCCTGCAGGCCGGAGACCGTCACGTTCACTCTCCGGCGGCGTAGTTGGAGCTGTTGGGCGACGCGTTCTGAGACAACGAGGCTTTAGACCCGGAATCTAACAATGCTCGCACCTTAACCGTACGACCCAAATACGAGATCAGTTTTATCATGGCGGTCGCAAGAAGAACCGTGTTATTCGTAGTGCTTGCCAATGCGGCTACTGCCGTCGCATCAGCTTGATGTACGGACTTTTCTAATGAGGTGATGGCCGCATTTGAGTCTTGAGGTATCGTTGGAGCGGCTGATTGTATTACCCCGATGTGCAGGAGTGAGTGATGCTTCTCCCAGCAGTGCCGGCATCGGTTGATAGACGGACAGGCCGCTGCTGCGTGGTTGTGGCCTAGGCAGTTAAAGCAGGCTTTACTCCTTCTCGCTTGTTCTCGACGTTGTTCTACGGAGAAGGTTTTAAACTTGTCACACGATCGGAGCGGATGGCGTGCCTTGCAGAGTGGACACTGAGATACCTCTCTAGTGCTGGAGGAATGTGACGATACATCGGTTTTTCGTCCGTTGCGTTTGCCTCCCTTTGTTTCGCTTGTTATCGCTGTTGAACGCGGGTGAGCCGCTTCCAGAGCGCGAGCTCGGGTAAGGAGAAAGGTTTTCAGCTCGGTGAAGGATGGAAAGTCCGAACTCGACTCCTGTGACGATTCCCACAGGAGGCGCGTTGATGAATCTAATTTGCCGAATATAATGTGAACAAACCAGTCATCCCAATGTTCCACCGGTCGTCCCAGGGCCCGGAAAGAGCGTGATGACTGGTTCGCCGTGCTGATCAATCTATTGATCTCTTGGGATGACTATTTGACAATTGGCGCGCTAAGTAGGAGCTCTCGCATGTGAGTCGTTAAGAGCACTCTTCGATTATCAAAACGCGAGACCAGTTCGTCCCACGCCAGGGCATAGCCTTCAGCTGACATTTCAATGCTTGAAACTACTGCGGCGGCCTCTCCCGCAAGACTAGCCTTAAGATATTGCAACTTCTGAATTGGCGCGAGGCCGTCCACTTCATGCACTAGAGACTTGAAGAGATCCCGAAACCCCTCCCAGGCCAGTGGGTCTCCGTCGAACGTAGGCAAATTGATTTTCGGTAACTGGATCTGGCGAAGGACGGAACCGGCATCCGCATTTGTCGACGTCGTCTCCATAGACTTAGTAGTCTGAAGATGAGCTATGATGCGGGACTTCGTTGAAAGATAGTGCTCTTCAATTAGTCCATAGACGTCCTCCTTCATACAGGGTGATTCAAAACAACCGTTTGTCCTTAAAATGTCGTATTCCTGACTCAATTCTAAGACGATTTGTCCTTTGCCAAAATTTTATCCGAAGCTTAGTTTTTGAAATATAAAAAGAAATAGTTAGCGAATTACAGCACGAGTACGGGCGGTAATCAGGAGCGGCGCAACACATTATCCGACGCGGGCGATTACGTGGGCGCTCGAAGCGATCAGCTGTTTGTTACACGCGGCGTTTTGTGTGTGTGTGTGTGTGTGTGTGCGTGTGTGTGTACGCGTATACACACACACACACACACTCTCTCTCTCTCTCTCTCTCTCACTGATTCTTACCTTGTAGAGATGTTTGATGTCCTTTGACGAATAATTGTTGCCTGACTGGATACAATCCGATATTGACACACTGTGACACACTGCATAATGAAATCATTTTTTTGTAATAAATTCTATTGACACTTTGACTCACGCACTTGATTAAAAATTATTGTAATAAATAACTGATTACAAATTACAACACATAATCACAATCTGAGAGAATTTTCTCTTAGAATTTGCCCTGAAAATTGTGGTAATCGTAGGATAATATTGTATGGAAAAAATTTTATTAGAATTCCTCTAATTAATATTTATCACATTCAAAATAATAATATCTATCACAATAAAATATGAAACATGTTTTATTAATTTTACTAAACCGTAAAGTAAAATTAATGAAATATATTTTATATTTTATTGTGATAAATATTATTATTTTGAATGTGATAATTATTAATCAGAGAAATTCTAATAAAATTCTTTCCATACCATATTCTCTTACAATTACTATAACTTTTAGGGTAAATTCTAAGAGAAAATTCTCTCAGTGTTTTGATTAATTATTAAAATTACTTGTAAAAACGCGCGGCGCGCACAGCACACGTTACTCGATGCGGACGGCAATAGTTTACACGGCAAGGAGACGACAATCATAATCACAATCTAAGAGAATTTTCTCTTAGAATTTACCTAGAAAATTATGGTAATCGTAGGACATTATGATGTGGAAAGAATTTTATTAGAATTTCTCTACTATTTATCATATTAAAAATAATAATATGTATCACAAGAAAATATAAAATATGTTTGATTAATTTTACTATACAGTTTAGTAAAATTAATCACACATATTTCATATTTTATTGTGATAGATATTCTTTTTAATGTGATAAATATTAATCAGAGAAATTTTAATAAAATTCTTTTCATACCGTATTGTCTCACAATTACCATAACTTTTAGGGTAAATTTTAAGAGAAAATTCTCTCAGTGTACCGATTAATTATTAAAAATTACTTGTAAAAAGGCACACGTTACTCGATGCGGACGACAATTGTTTACACGGCAAGGACACGACAACAGACTGCGGCGACGGACGACGCGACGCGTCGCGACGCTTCGCGACACGTCTAGACGATAACAATCACGCGGCGTTGCCGAACATGTGATTGACGCGAGACATGTATTAAAACGTATAATAATTATGTTATTAAAAAAGGCATATTATAACGTATTATAATTTTTTACGTTATAATACATTTTTTTTAATGACTTAACATTATCCGCCCGTTTTGCCCTTTCTTTTTAAGCGAGACGTGAGAAAAATAATTATGTTTTGCGAACAAGATGTTCCATGTATAAATGTATTGGTCGCTCTGAAAAGAGCGGATTGACTTTGGTCGCTCTGAAAAGAGCGGATTGACTTTGGTCGCTCTGAAAAGAGCGGATTAACTTTGGTCGCTCTGAAAAGAGCGGATTAATTTATAATAGGTGCTCAAAATGACCACCATCCATCCTTATGCAAGCTCTCATGCGTTTAAATAAATTTAATTGCACGTTCTCCATTACTTCCTCTTCGATATTCCAAATTACATATCGCAATCTGGTTTCTAAGTCGTCGACGTCCTCGGGAAGCGTTTTGTATATTGATTCCTTACAGTATCCCCATAAAAAGAAATCAAGAGGATTAAGGTCCGGGGATCTTGCGGGCCAACGTATCGGGCCATACCGATCCATCCAACGTCCAGGAAACTGCTCGTTCAAGTAGTTTGTTACAATCCTGGCGTTGTGTGGTCCAGCACCGTCTTGTTGAAAGAACATTTTATTTCTTTCAAATAGTGGCACTTCTTCTAAAAAATCGGGCAGATTTTCTTTCAAAAGTTCCACGTACGTCTGGCCAGTTAAAATATCTGGTAGAATAACAGGCCCAAGTATTTGGGTACCCATTATTCCAGCCCAGATATTTATTTTCCAACGTACTTGAAAATTTTTGAGCCGCGTTACTCTGGGATTTTCTTCGCTCCAATAATGCATATTGTGCGAGTTAAAAATACCTTCTTGTGTGAATAGTGATTCATCACTGAATATCACACGGGAAGAAAATCTGGGATCTCGATCCACTTGTCTCAAAAAATTTTTGCAAAATGTTCTTCTTGCCTGATAATCTTCAGCTCGTAAATGTTGCACGCGTGTATAATAAACGCGTGCAACTTTTCTTCTTTGAGCGTTCTTTGTACCGTCGAGTAAGAAAAGTTGTGTTCTCGAGCAACCACTCGAATACTCGTTTCAGGATTATCTTCGAAAGCACGTACAATTCGCTCCGTATTTCGCAAATTTCTTGCATTGCGATTTCTTCCAGTATCGTGTTTATCCGGAAGGACACTGCCAGTCTCGTGTAATCTCTGAGCTGCTCGAAGTATAACAGGAGCCGATGGATGTCTTGCTCGATTTGGATATAATTCGGCGTATCTTCTTGCAGCTACGTGATACTGCCCATGACACTCGCCGAGTGCCATTAGCATATCGTAATATTCTTCGTTTGTGTACGCTGCCATATCGTCCTCTTAACTCTTGTAATAATCGAAAGATTATTGTTTGCATTATCAATCTTCATTTAATTTATACAATCCGCGGGGTGTCGCGATTTCTCCCTCCACGCCTTCCGCGTCGAATAGCGGCACGCGACACCCGCGAATCGTATAAATATAAGATGCAGATCGACAATGCAATCAATCATCAATCGGCTCCCGTCATACGAAGAACTCAGAGACAAAACGAGACTGGCAGCGTCCTTTCGAGCAAACAAGAAAAAAAGTTGCACGCATTTCATTACACACGCGTGCAACATTTACGACCAGAAGATTATCAAGACGAACGTTTTGCGAAAATTTTCTGAAAAAAGTAAATCGTTTCCCGAAGACGCTTCCCGAGGACGTCGACGACTTAGAAACCAGATTGCGATATGTAATTTGGAATATCGAAGAGGAAGTAATGGAGAACGTGCAATTAAATTTATTTAAACGCATGAGAGCTTGCATAAGGATGGATGGTGGTCATTTTGAGCACCTATTATAAATTAATCCGCTCTTTTCAGAGCGACCAAAGTTAATCCGCTCTTTTCAGAGCGACCAAAGTCAATCCCCTCTTTTCAGAGCGACCAAAGTCAATCCGCTCTTTTCAGAGCGACCAATACATTTATACATGGAACATCTTGTTCGCAAAACATAATTATTTTTCTCACGTCTCGCTTAAAAAGAAAGGGCAAAACGGGCGGATAATGTTAAGTCATTAAAAAAATGTATTATAACGTAAAAATTATAATACGTTATAATATGCCTTTTTTAATAACATAATTATTATACGTTTTAATACATGTCTCGCGTCAATCACATGTTCGGCAACGCCGCGTGATTGTTATCGTCTAGACGTGTCGCGAAGCGTCGCGACGCGTCGCGTCGTCCGTCGCCGCAGTCTGTTGTCGTGTCCTTGCCGTGTAAACAATTGTCGTCCGCATCGAGTAACGTGTGCCTTTTTACAAGTAATTTTTAATAATTAATCGGTACACTGAGAGAATTTTCTCTTAAAATTTACCCTAAAAGTTATGGTAATTGTGAGACAATACGGTATGAAAAGAATTTTATTAAAATTTCTCTGATTAATATTTATCACATTAAAAAGAATATCTATCACAATAAAATATGAAATATGTGTGATTAATTTTACTAAACTGTATAGTAAAATTAATCAAACATATTTTATATTTTCTTGTGATACATATTATTATTTTTAATATGATAAATAGTAGAGAAATTCTAATAAAATTCTTTCCACATCATAATGTCCTACGATTACCATAATTTTCTAGGTAAATTCTAAGAGAAAATTCTCTTAGATTGTGATTATGATTGTCGTCTCCTTGCCGTGTAAACTATTGCCGTCCGCATCGAGTAACGTGTGCTGTGCGCGCCGCGCGTTTTTACAAGTAATTTTTAATAATTAATCAAAACACTGAGAGAATTTTCTCTTAGAATTTACCCTAAAAGTTATAGTAATTGTAAGAGAATATGGTATGGAAAGAATTTTATTAGAATTTCTCTGATTAATAATTATCACATTCAAAATAATAATATTTATCACAATAAAATATAAAATATATTTCATTAATTTTACTTTACGGTTTAGTAAAATTAATAAAACATGTTTCATATTTTATTGTGATAGATATTATTATTTTGAATGTGATAAATATTAATTAGAGGAATTCTAATAAAATTTTTTCCATACAATATTATCCTACGATTACCACAATTTTCAGGGCAAATTCTAAGAGAAAATTCTCTCAGATTGTGATTATGTGTTGTAATTTGTAATCAGTTATTTATTACAATAATTTTTAATCAAGTGCGTGAGTCAAAGTGTCAATAGAATTTATTACAAAAAAATGATTTCATTATGCAGTGTGTCACAGTGTGTCAATATCGGATTGTATCCAGTCAGGCAACAATTATTCGTCAAAGGACATCAAACATCTTACAAGGTAAGAATCAGTGAGAGAGAGAGAGAGAGAGAGAGAGAGAGTGTGTGTGTATACGCGTACACACACGCACACACACACACACACACACACACACACAAAACGCCGCGTGTAACAAACAGCTGATCGCTTCGAGCGCCCACGTAATCGC